TTTAGTCTGTAGCATGATCTAAATTAATACTCTCTGACCTCTTTTTATGCAATTACATTCTCGAAAACTTTTACGATATTTCCATCATTTTTCTTAATATAAACCTACATATTGAACTATCAATTTGTGATATTTTTATTTAATTTAGGTATCTATTACATAACACTCTCCTAAATCATTTTTATTCTCTTATTATAAGCAAGTTGGTAGCACGCAATGATTAGTTTACTGAAATATAGTTGTTATTGTTGTTTATTGCTATTATTATAACCGCGTTTATAAAAAATTATTAACATTACTCGCATTTCATATGTAGATACGATAAAATTTAATGACGGAGGAGTGATTGGAAATTTTCTAAAACTCTTCACTATCTTTATATTATTGAACACATTGACACAAATAAGTTATTACTATCAGTTATATTTATTTGACTTTATATTTAACTGTTCGTTTATCATTCTGTCACTGGTTCACATACTAATTTGCAGCATACGTATATGTAAAAGTATAACCAAAAATGATAACTCTGACATAGAATGGAGGAAGTATGATATATAAGTATATACGCGTATGCTTCATTTTTTTTTCTGTCAGTATGATTGATAGATGATACCAATGGATTTAATTCAGGAAAAAATGAATTTGACATCAAACTGCGTTCTGATAAAAAAAAGTATCTCGATTTCTATTCGTAAAGAGTAAGGTGTCATCAATGGTTTAGTTTAAATGATTTTACATACAAATATGCGAACTGTAAAAAGGTATAACGAATCAGTATTTCTATATTAATGTATTGTATTTGTACAGTCCATAAAATATGCTCGAATATCTAAGCTGCAGATGATGAAAGTCATTATAGAAATGAATATGCACGAGATAAAACCATAAAAAAAGACTTGTAGCGTGTAAAGTGAAACTGCTATTATGTTCTACTTATTATTATTATTGTTGTTATTATTATGAAGTAACATATACAAGTAAATTACATTGTTTTGGTTTAGCTATAATTGTGATAGTGGGTGATATGCGTAGTATAGTCTCCCTTTTTTTATAAAGTAGGCATTCCACTTCAAATGCACAAAAATTTGGGTAGAATCTCAAACATGTGAGTATGTATGTATATAGTGATGAGCAAAGCAAGACTGTCCCAGTTTTGGGTTTGGTCTTGCTCAAATACTTCTAGTCTTGGTCTCGGTCTTGGTCGTTGAACTTGATACTTACGTTTTTTTAATAATTCTTCTAAGTACAAATTTTTCTATTTACTGACACAATAATTGTCTTTCAACCATGTTTTATCCAGAGATAGGAACAAATAACACTTACACTTACGAGGATATTCTTGTAGATTTCTTTTTTCAAACAGTGGTATTCCCTAAATAAAATAATTCGAAGTGGTCTGTATTCTGTCGAAACTGCCAGACGCGGATCGCGATTTCGATCTTTTTGGATCTCATCAGCGCGTCGCAGGCAGCTCCGACAGAACACAGACCAACTTTTACCTGCTGTCTTAACAGTGCGTTTTAGAAAATACTACAAACGGCACAGTGAGCGCCATCTGTAGCACGATGCTACATTTTAGGTGTGGTATTCCCTTTTCGTTTATATTTAGTGTTAGTAAAGCAAATTGAAAATTTCAAATACTAAAAGCGTTTTGTTCCAAGAAAAGAATATATTAAAGATGTTTCAAATAGTTTAACTCATAAATCGACAAGAAGTAGTGATTTTTCATTTAGTCTTCGTTAGGTCTTGGTTTTAGTCTTGCCCTTGGTCTTGGTCTTACTAGTATAAGTACAGTTTTGATCTTTGGTCTTGTATTTTCGTAATACCAAGACCACTTTTACTCATCATTACCTAAAATAGTCAAAACACTCTGATAGCTTTTCCGGCAGTGTTTTCAAATCTGCAAAAGTGAGACATAATAAGGCTAACTAAGGTTCCGACTGTTCTTTTTATGAGTGCCGATGTCAATCATTAGACTAAAGAAGTTAATAAATCTCTTGAAAGTTTTATTACGTCAACTGCCAGTTTAGAAAAGACAAACTTTACATGTTCTATTTAAGGATCGAGTAGATCCTTAAGAAAAGGGAGTAGACACTCACACGCTTGAGATTCTACTCACAATGGGAGACTACACTAATCACTCAACACTTGCACTTGAAAATCATTTGTTATGTAAAATAAGCTATTTAAGTAACAGTTGATTTGCAATAAGAAGAATAAAACACCTGTAGATCTTTGTTGAAAAAAGTTTCTTTTCTAAATATACATTTAGCTGAAGGTCAAACTCATGAAACAGAAATAGATTTTTTAACTTTTGAATAAAATGTAAGTACCTGCCATTTTAAATTTAAAATGTTTCATAAATAATTGTTGCGTATTTAAAATTGCCCTCATCAATTAATCCATCGACGCTTGTTTGTTCGGGTAATTAAAAATTATTGGACCCCATCTTCATTATCCGTATGGCTTCTAGTTGTTATGTAATTATCAATTACCTTGTCAGAATTTAGATGGACAAGGTTCTTTACATCTTACTCTACTAATTCTCATAATTATTTTTTAATGGTCTGCGCTAATAATAGTAAATTTTGTTCATTTGTCATGCTCAAAAATAAAATTAAAACAAACAGTGTAAATTAGCACAGAATATAATGCTTGTAATTAATTTATTGATGCTTACGTTAATATATTATAACCTAAAGTAATTTTAAATTTCAAAAAATTTAATATGCCTAATTTGCAATATTTTTATTTAAAACAATTTTTTTCAATGTAACTAAATTGTAAAATCAAGTCGAATGTAACCTGCCATTAGATTTCTAGTTTGTAGTTTGTCTTCACCTAATAGCGAATATTTTCAAAAAACATGTTAAACTTACAAGCACTACTTATGCAATAAATTTAGTTTAAGTGCAACGAAAGGAGTAAGCGTTATATTATCTACAATTATCGTATTAATTAGATACTCGTCTTTAATGAGTAAAAGCATAATTCATAATTAGTATTATAAAATATATTACGTATGTGGCATATCTATAAACAACAATCGTTATAAATTTTCAACCTTTCCTCGAAAAAAACCAAAATAAGTAACCGAAAAAAAAAAGATTTTAGAATATTATGGTCTTTGTCTTTGAGAAAAATACACTAATTTGAAAGAGAATTTGGTGATTTAAGAAAGGTGATTGACTTGAGAAAAATTGGGTTCAATGAATCACAACAAAACAGGAATAATTTCGAACAATATATTCAGATTAGATTAAGTGATTTTGTATTGTAATTGTAGAAAACAACAACTAAATTGAAAGTAAACTAAAATAACTCAACGTTACTAATTTCGGAATATTTATATATTACTGTAAACAACCAACGAGAACCTATTAAAGAAGCGCCACTTAAAAAAGTCTATAATTTCAAAACTATTGTAATAGCAATTGTAATGTTCAAATAAAATGAATTTAGCTGCTCTTCTAATAGATATTTTATACAGAAAAATCCCACAAAACTAATTTTTAAGACACATTAATAGCATATTATGAATCAACTAGACTAAATAAATTACATTTCTGTATGCCCTTCGGAAATAACCCTATGGTCGAAGCCATATAATTAGGTACTGAAAACGTTTTCGTAAATTGGGTAGTTTATTTGTTTCACTTTCTCTTACAATGTTGAGTAGGTTTACTGCAAGAGAATTTAAACCAAATTAATAACCTGTGCTTTAAAAATTCAAGAGATTTAACTGCTAAGATCAGATACTGCTTTTCGTTTCTTTAATATCAAATAATTATTTCACGATGATGTATCTACTGATAATTTGATTTTTAATTTTCTGTAACTAGAAGTCAATGGACAAGATAACATTATCAAGAAGTTATTGCCTCCTGGGTGGCGAAGGCATTTGCCTTTTGTTTTAGTAAAAAAATTGTTTGTAGAGAAATGGTAACAGAAAATTGTTGTCTAGCGTCTTTTTCTTCACAAAATACTATAATAGTTTCATCATTGTTGTATTAACTGTTATTTTTGGAACCATGTGGCAATGGGGCATTAACTTAAACTCTTTTAACGCCATCATCGCATATTTTATATACTTTTTGTATTTACCAATTATTCCTATAAGTGCAACAACTTTGTACCATTTGCACCGTGTGTTACTATGCAATTTAAATTTGTGCTACTGTAAGATTGTTTGTAAATGGTTGTGGAAAGTTATGTTTATAAACAAAAGTTTAGAAATATCAATCATTTTACAATATTGTCTTTGAGTACTTGAATAGCTTTTGAAATTAGCTGCTTTCTACGTTAACTTTGAGCGGTGTAAAGAAAGAATTTTTATTACCTTGACATGTATTAAGCAAAGCAACCGAGCAATAAAATTGCATTTAGGAACAAACAACAATGTATTTTACCATTAATGCTTGTCACCATATTTTGTTAATAACAAGTAGCATTTTTTAAAATTTTTTAACATACCTAGAGCGCAGCAAGATGTCTGAAGGCTGACGAAAATATACGTAAAAATTAAATAATCAGTAACCTTCAGATTATTTGTTTTCAGTAAGTATTTTGGATTGTTTTGAATTGTTTTTGACAAAAACATTATTACAGTGTAACAAGTTGTAAATACTATTTTTCATTTTTCAAGTTTCAATTAATTTACAATTAGATGCAATTGCTGCCTCTACCTAATTATTTTTGTTAAACTTTCATCATTTTAATTAAAATACATTAACTAAATCTTGGAATAGTGAAGAGTCCCGGTAAGTTTGCGACACTTCGTCGTCCGGAAATTACGAATCATCATATTACCGCAAGCTGAATTAAAATATATTTTAAGGGAAGTCTAATACTAATATACATATGCACCTGAGGATGCCCTTACGAAAATCGCGAAACGTAAGTAAGAGTAAGATACTCAATATTTTATTTTCACGAACGACTAGACTTTGCTTTTTTACTAAAATATCGGTAATAATTATACACATAATGTGACCTACCGACAGTCTTAATGATTTGAAAATCGTCAATATCAAGTTCATTGTTATCCTTGTCATCGTCGGAAAACTCTTCGGATGTACTTGTGGTGGATGTTTGTGCTGATTCCAAGCTTTCGGTACTTTCTTGTCTACTTCTCATCTTCTCCTCTGCCATACTACCGTTTAAAACTCTCACAAAAGAAAAAGTTACTTTTCTGTGCTAACACATTGCCGCGTTAACACTGACAAAGAGTCCGTCACACAACTTTCCCACCGTATACGTCTACTTCCTCGTTTTGTTGCAACTGTCGACGCGTTAGAATTGTTAAAGGCGCTTCTTTTTCAAGATTATCCGGGTTAACTTATAGAAGCCGCTCGTACAACCAAGACAACTAATTGATGGCAACTAATCCAAAGTGAGATTAAAGTGCGTTTGAAAGGCGCGGGCTTGCGTCAGTCAACTATACGTTGAGTTTATGGATGTATGTACGTCGGCTCAGTCTCTCGCTCTGTCTCTCTCTCTCTCTCTTTATTTACCCGAGTCCACACTTTCGACGATAATAATTATTGTACCCAATCCAATCCGCACTAGTGTTTTAAGCTGTTATTATCATTAAATCTTGATGAAACAGGAGCAATGGACAGAACGTTCACCGAAAGCTGACACTTGGTCGCCAACTGTCATCTCTCATTCCACAAATAAACGTGATAAAGTTATTTTATTTTCGCACGCACGGCCGCATTATTTTTTACCCCAACGCCGCAAAACGCGTATCATAAACAGATAATATAAAGATCTACTGTTTTCTTTAGTTTTGTTATTATATTATCAAAGAGAATATTTGTGTTTGTTATAAAAACAGTTTAAGTTCTTGATCAGTAAGTTACCAGACGAGTATCCCGAATTAGAACTTATTAGTTGTCATCAGCACGCCACGGTTAGCCTCAACGAATTGTTAACCAAATTGGAGTTGTTCCGGATTTTCCATTCAATCAGTATTACTATTGTCAGCTCATAGCTCAATAATATTAACGCAGGAAACTTAAATCCATATAAAATTAATCTATCGTTCAACTATAAATCTATAAATAAATTTCGGTGAAATAGCAGAAGAAAGATTTTAAGACATCATCATCATTCTTACTTAAAGAAAATCAATAATAATTTTTTCAATCTTATTCTTCATTCTTTTTGTCTCAGAAGAAACTGGAAAACTTGAAACTAGTTATAAAGCTTTTCGACGGTACCTTAGAGGTGTACGATTTACTCAGAAGTTCTATTTAGTTTACTAGTCCACATAGACCAAATCGCAAACCTTTTTAAATCGACATTACCTAACATTGTTAGAAATAACTGCTTAAATTTCAGTTTTAAAATCGGCACCATCAGCATCCTTATTGCTACGTTTAATTTCAATAATTCCAAAACATGTACCTATTCGAGGTCCTCCAGTTGCTCCATTCGACTACAGAAATATTCTTTCAAAGTTCCGCATGTAAACACGTTAATTTCGATCTACATTTTACTAAAAAATCCAACAGTCATAGCTAATATCTTAATATAGGTCATTAGTAACAGCATAAATCTATTTCGTATACTTATTTAGCTTAGCACCTTTTGACTGTCGTAAAGTTTTCAAATGGAGTTACTGTTAATATTAGTCGCTTTTACTCCTCGCTGCGATACAACTGGATCTAGAAAAGTACCTACCAGAGTAATTATTTTGCTATTTACTTTCTTTCTTCTTTTTTTTCTCTTAATTTTGCGGAATATTAATACTGTGTATATATGTAAGTAGTAAAAAGAATATTATCAATTAATTTTCAGTATTCTTACTTTTGATTTTTTAGTTTTGATTATTAATGATTGATAAATACCATTACAGGCTACTAATAATATTTCGCTTTCCTTTTTAATTTGATATCAAAGCAATTATTCTTTTCGCCAATAGAAAGAAGTATCAAGTGCAGCATTAAAAGGAGATCTTTCTGAGGTCAACAAACTGTCGCAATAGTTATTAATTGTAGGAAAACAGTGCAACTAACGCAATATAAATAATTGTATTAAAAATCACTACTCAACTCTTAAATTACTTCTGGAATCACTGTTACATTGCCTTCGCATGAATAATTAATTAATGTAAATTATTTATGTATTCCATTGCGATACTTGTCTAATGAGACTAATCGTAACTTTCAGTGTTTCATTTTAATAAAGACATCAGTAATAAAATATGTCATTTTTTCGTTATATTTCATTGTATTAAGTCATTTACAGTAAATCATACATGTGTAATTATTATCTAATATATCTACTTAGTAAGCACTAGGGTGATTCAAAATTCCCTTTTCTTTTTTCTTTTTTGTTCATTCAAACAAGTTTAATGCTTGTAAGCACATATGGGAAGAACTCTGGTTCCCGCGGAGCTTATACAATGGATATTTAAAGGTGGATCATTAAAATATTTCAGTTTTCCATAGGAAAACCATGGGAAAGAATAATTCGCTAAATGATTTTGAATATACCTCGTCAACAAAAGTAAATTGATGAAAAGAATTTAAAATGTTTCTTTCCCATGCTTTTCTTATGGAAAACCATCTAAAAAAAATTTATACAACACAGTCAAGAGCACCACCATAAATATTAATACATAACACCATTCATAGGTTGTTTAAAAATCCGTATTACTGCAATTATGTATGTAAGAAGTTAATTAAAATACAAACGTGTTTAAAAATGATTTACAGAAAACAGAATTGTATGCTTACATATATNCATCTAAAAAAAAAAGAAAAAGAAAATTTGGATAATTATAATAAATACACTTAAATGAGAAATCACAGTAAAAGACAAAATTGAAGACGTAAATCCGCTCCTTTTATTCTATTTGTTGACGATCATCCTTGCTTATAAGAGTACTCCATAATACTTTCGAGCACATTACACTGAGTATCATCCGTATACAAAGAAGTGACGATTTCACAGAGATTGTCAGAAATACATTCGTTGTCGCATCCTTGTTCAATGAAAGGATCTGAATTCTTGTACTTGTTTCTGAAAGAGGTTTTTGATAAGGTTTTAAAGGCAGTTTCTTAGTAATTGCAATTTCTAATGAATCTTAATCAGTAAAAAAGTTTCATCCAAAGAAGAAGTCTTTATTTGATCATCATTTTAATTTCCTCGGATTTGCTTTATATCTTACAATATTTTGAAACGGTAAACAGTGAAAAATGTTTTGAGTATTATATTATTATTTTTACAGTTTTGTAATTTATATTTTCATCAGCATCATCCTGAGGTCATCAATTCTAAAACTGGTTGGGTACGCACCTCCCCGTTTTCCTACCCGAGCTAATCCTCGCATTTCCCTAAAGCTAGAAGTTCCCACATCCATAACTATTTGTGAACAATAATCTAATCTAGGTCTACCTTTACTCCTTTTAACTCCTGTTTCTGCTTCTAATATGTCTCTAACTAGCTCTTCATGTCTGAGACGATGTCCTACCAACCTATCTCGCCTGTTTCTTACTGACCTTCGCAGTGACCTCTGTTCTCATGTTCTTTCTAAAGCCTTCTCATTTCTAACCTTCTTTATCCACGATATCCTTATCGTTCGCCTGTAACACAACATTTCGAACGCTTCTAACATTTTCTTTTCCGTCGCGTCCACCGTCCATGTTTCGTACTCGTACAGATCCGCGCTCGAAACATGCACCTTCAACATCTTTCTCGAATATCTAAATTAACTGCTCACGATCATAGAAGTAACTTCTTTCTGTTAAAGGCAACTATACCTTGCGCTTTCCTCCATGTTATATCTCTATTGCTCTTTCCATTCTGAGTTTTTCGTCTCCTATTTTAATATTCCCCCTTTTCTTACTGTTTGTCTTACTTAATGACTGCGAAAATAATTAATTGTAGCACCCACCCACTTAAGGAATCTGTTAGAAATCCTACGAGTTGGTGCATTTTCCAGTACTAGCCAAACAAATTAGTTCATTTTACACTTTTCCACATAGTTGTCAAACGTGAGTGGCAACTTCCTACGTTTCCATAAGTTTTTAAAAATTTGACTAATATTAGGTACCTACCTACGTCAAAAATTGAGTTGTCTAAAATGCCCGTATGCTTCCTCGTAAATTATAGTGGAAAAAATGTCGCGGTCTCTGCCAGTTACGTGGCAATTATTTTTATAGTTTTGCATTTAGAAAACGGAAGCCAAGCTTTTAATGGTCAACCGTTTCCGCTATATGTATATGTAAAAGTAAAAGCATTTGAACATTCAAATAAATACGAGAACTATCACGAAACAAATTAAATTCAAAGATAATTAACAAGAACTACAAATATTTATTCACCAGAGAAGTGGGTTGGTAGAAAATAAACTATCATTAGTGCAAAATAAACATACCAGGCAAGATAGATTTCTTAAAAGCTATTTAATTGAGCTATACTTGACTTTTAAACATTGTCTAACGTCAGAGTAATCTTAACCCTCAGTTTCATACCTGAATATAAAATGTTTAAGCTCTTTTGTTACATTGCCTTCGCATGAATAATTAATTAATGTAAATTATTTATGTATTCCATTGCGATACTTGTCTAATGAGACTAATCGTAACTTTCAGTGTTTCATTTTAATAAAGACATCAGTAATAAAATATGTCATTTTTTCGTTATATTTCATTGTATTAAGTCATTTACAGTAAATCATACATGTGTAATTATTATCTAATATATCTACTTAGTAAGCACTAGGGTGATTCAAAATTCCCTTTTCTTTTTTCTTTTTTGTTCATTCAAACAAGTTTAATGCTTGTAAGCACATATGGGAAGAACTCTGGTTCCCGCGGAGCTTATACAATGGATATTTAAAGGTGGATCATTAAAATATTTCAGTTTTCCATAGGAAAACCATGGGAAAGAATAATTCGCTAAATGATTTTGAATATACCTCGTCAACAAAAGTAAATTGATGAAAAGAATTTAAAATGTTTCATAAATAATTGTTGCGTATTTAAAATTNTCATTTCTATTTAAGTGATGATTTAATTTTCTTATTGGACACAAAATATTAAATATAAAGTAAAATGATCTATAAAACACATTTATTACCTATTCGAGACACTATGTGTTTACTTTTGTTATGATTGATGGATGGACGTAATAATCTGTATTCATGAAATTTTAGATTTAGATTTGTGATCTAATGTATCATTTACTTCGCCTACTTTTCCGACCACCCATCATAAAATTTGCGTTTACTATTTAATTTGTAAAAACACACGAAGCATACGTGTCATAGTACGTAGGTATATTTCAAATGCTTTATTTGTTTTCGTGCTTGCTAATGTTAAATAGAATTATCTGTTTTCGAAAATTCTGTCAAAAACAACTATTATTGTATTCATGTTGTTATCAATAATTAAAGTCAGTAGAATCACTTAACGTTTAATTAAATAAACAAGTTATACTAGTTATCAGTCCGTACAAGCAAATAAAAACCATCTAAATAGTTTGAGAGATAAAACTATACATCAGTCAATTATTTATGTTAACCCAATGGTGGCAGCTGATTCATAAGGTCATGAAGGTACGCGCCCTCTGTCACCTTTCGTTTTCTGTTAACTTTTCGTCGTATGAAAACGCAATATATTTGACAAATGTAATAATGCTTGCGAAGGGCAAAAACTTTGTAGGTATATGAAGACTATAATAAAACTCCTAATATTTTACCGAATGGGTTTACGGTAGCGTACGTACTAAACGGGTAGCTTTGCGCCTTGCGACCCGCGGGGCTGTTCGCCTAGTCGGTACGCGGTTTAAGATACATCGCTGTAGGTTCGCAAGATAGTTTATTCGATATACTCTTGAAAAGTGGACACAAATGTATGATTTGCCCTTGACAGAAGACGTAGAAGCTTCGTCGACTATAATCACTTAAGCTTTATTGTTCTCGTGAAATTAATGACATAAAATTTAATAACTTTTTAATAAACTATTTTATTTACACGTTTACTTACTGTCCCTAATTCACTCATATGTTCACTTTAAACTCACCAACATTACAATTTTGTATTATGATTTGATTATAGCATAAATGACTCGGAGTCAGTTTCGGAAAAACTTCCAATAAAAAACATTTTATCAAGTGAAGTAATGAGCCACTTTGCATCTATTGTTTCTTAGTTATACTAAGTAGGTATAAACTTATTACTCACCTGTAGTATAGTTGAGCTAAGGAACTATTCCCTGCCATTCTTTCTACTAGACTGGCGACGGTGTCCAAATTCATTTCATCTAAATTGTAAGCATCCTTGAAGGAGTACAGTTGATACCATCTTGGTTTGACATTTGCTCCAGCAAGATTTGCTTCTGTTAAATTGTAAGTATAATGCTCGTAATTGATTATGGTCTGTAACAAGCATGATACAGAAATCAGTTAAGTAATATGTTTTATGTTTTTACCCACTTAAGTATTTTAATGGTGCCAATTATTACATGTACATTACAACAAAAACCAGAGACAATACAACGAAGTTTTCATACATACTAGTGGATGAAATTATTATGAAATAACTCTGTTAAACTTACATTTGTTCTAACATCAGTTTCATAGATAATATAATTTGAATTTAAATAGTTGTATGAAGTCACACTTCCTCCATTGAAAGCCATCGCTATGGCTTGACTTGGATTTGAAAGATTGTAAAACAATTGAAATTCGTTGGTGTGTGTATGCCCATTAAAAATTCCTTTAATTGAATTTGCGTACCTAAAATAATATGAAAACGTATCTTAAATACTAAAAGTGAAGTGGAAAGTGTTTCACGGAAAGAAAGCTGCTTGTTATTGTTATTTTTTACATATCAAAAATATTTCTATTACTCATTATAAAGCATTACCATAAATAATGCATTATCCGCAACTTTGTCCAAAACCACAAAATTCGTTTAGTTATAAGGAGCATACTAATTGACAGACCGTGCAACCAAATTTTTGATAGTACCGCGTAAGGACCCTTAGTACTTTTTATTACCCATAAATCAGTCTATATAATAAGAGCACAGTGTATACCTATTGATTATAAAACAATAATTAATTCACCTATTAATAATTTTTCGGTATTCTCTTGCCCATGTTGTATAGCATTCTACCGAACCTGTCGGTACATGGCTGAGTATATGTACATTTTCGCCATTAGTTTCAGCCTCAGCAAGAACATCCCTTAGCCACTGTAACTGATCGTACATGTCCACATAAGTGTATAGTAACCATCTAAAAGAAGTGGTAATTATGTAAAAAAAGTCGAGTACGATGTCAAATTACAGCATTATCTTTTTCAAAATATATAAAACAATACAAATTTAAAAGAATACAGGGGAAATTATTACGAGATGGAAGGTATTTAGTAAGCTCTGAAAAGCAATAATTATATAAAAATGAACGAAGAATCTCATGGTGCCAATAGTTTTCAAGTGCGGTATCAGATAGACATTTTTCGGCATTAGTTTTGCTAAGATATATCAAATTATTTAAATAAAGAAAAGCGCCCGTGAAGTTATTAGAAGATGGAAGGTATTTAGTAAGCTCTGAAAAGCAATAATTATATAAAAATGAACGAAGAATCTCATGGTGCCAATAGTTTTCAAGTGCGGTATCAGATAGACATTTTTCGGCATTAGTTTTGCTAAGATATATCAAATTATTTAAATAAAGAAAAGCGCCCGTGAAGTTATTAGAAGATGAAAGGTATTTACTAGGTTTCGAAAAAAATAATAATTATGTGAAAAACTACGCAGAATCTCATAGTTTTCATGTGCGGTGTCAAATAGATACTTTCCGGCATTATTTTTTTTAATATATAAAATACCTCAAAAATAAAAAATCGCTCGTGTTAATATTGGATAATGAACGGTATCTACAAAGATTATGAAAAAGAACGTAGAAACCCACTTTAATTAATTTTTTACTTACAATTAGTTAATTATTCTGTTTCTATACAGGATATTAAATTAAGTAATATTTGTGTTACGTAGACGTTGTATGAAACGCAGTTCTTTAACGTTTGAAAGAAAAAGAAAAGACAAAATGATGCTTGTATCGGATCTTGTCAAAAAAAGAAAATGTTTTTGCTTTCCTAAAATTACAAATATTGCGTACGTACGTATTAAAAACTACGTAAGAGTGAAGTGTGAAAAAATAATGACATTGTAATATTCAGTCTAAAACACTTTTATTTGAACGTAAGTGTTGGAAGCCAACCAAAAATTATAAGTCGTTGGCTGTTTATCTAACAAATTAAAAACGTTGTGCTAGCAGTAAACAAAAAGACAAAACCAATGACGTATTTATGCTAATTCATCTTTCCAACCAAATGTTTACGTAATACCATTGACAAAAATATGTGGACAAGTTTTTTAATTGCTTTTGCTAAAAAGATGCTCAAAATCTATTCGAATTTACACCAAAGGATAATTGACGTTGGTAAAGGTACAATCTCTAGATTAAAAAGGAATAAACCAATTCTTATATTTTCTTTCTTATAACAACTCATCTGATATTTTTAAGTCGAAACTTAATTTATAATTTGTTTACTTTCTCCATAATTTTTCACTCCCCCAGCTCGCAGTTATGGTGATAGATAGCCCTTGATTTCCCATTGATAACGAAGGAGTTTGATAGTAGATAATATCTTTGCTTGGGTGCGAGTGGGTGGTGAAGATCTCTTCCTAACACTTTAGTTTCTCATGATAGATTCAAAAATATTTCAAGATAGACTCACTGTAACCGAGTAGGAAAGTTTACCGATGGGTGAAACACCTTAAAAAATAACAGAATGTTCTAGAAAGTTAGGGAACTTTCGAGAAACCTCAAATTTTCCAAAAATTTCCTAGTAGGTATATTCTGAAACATTCCAGATATTCAAAATATTTTCTAAAATTCTGAACAGACAACACCGGGCTTTACGGCTAGTCTAAATATACGTAAGTATTAATTTAATTTAGTTGAGATGTAGAATATTCCTAATTTGTCGTGGAATTTTTAATATTAACTTTCTTTCCGTCTAATATATCATTTTTTTCTTTTATATTGAAGCAGCGTTAGTCGATAGTTGGGCCCCGTTTAATTTTTTCAATAATTTTTTTAATACTCGGGTGATTTTCAAAACTATCAGTTTCTTAGCGTGGATAATTATGAATTGATTACTGATAGTATAAATCAATCCTTCTTTACTTACAAATTAAATGTATAGCATACATTACTGTTGAGTGCTACAATTCTAAATTTCTCGTTTACTTTTACAGTATAGTAGCCACCTTTCAATATCGTTTGTTTGGTGGCTTCAGGTAGCCATCTACTCCATTCCTTCGCAATTAAGTCAAATACCCACTGAATGCTTAACTTTGGATCTACTGAACTAGGAGAATAACTAAAACAGTAAAGTATATTAATAAAACTGAAAAAATGTTAAACTCAAAATATAGAACTCTTCGGTATCATAAATATTGAAATCCTGGAACAATTAACGATTAAAAATGCTTGTTTTTACAAAGATTTATATTCTTTTCAATCAAACATTGTGGGAAAAACGGCAAAAGATGCGTAAGTACTATACACCCCGATAGCAAGTACCACCGTCCATATTTCATGATCTTGTTGTTAAGTATTAGTAATTGTACTTACAGATTTATGGGATGTGGTTCATGATTTCCCAAAACAGGATAAACGGGAATGTTAGGAAATGCTGTATCAATAATATCATAATTTTGCCTCATAACGTTAATATTGTTTTGTTTTTCTGTCTTCCAAACTCGATGATCTATAACGTCTCCGGTGAAGTAAACGTAATCTATTTTCTGTAAACATTTGAACAAATATTTGTAACAATAATAGCAGGCTGGGCTTTTTTGATTCTGTGTGAAAGTTTGCTTAGTTTGTATGTATTAATGAAAGTACTAGAAAAATATTAATTTCGTTACTTTAACTTTTATTTAATAATTACAAATATACCTATACGTATGCATAAAATATTTTAAATTTATTATTATAGCTTAAACGTAATGTGACATAAAAAATGAAACCGTAGTATGAAAATTGAATGGTTTCTCATAAATGCCAATTGAATGATTCATTGAGAATGAAAAATTTTTGAGCTGCTTCTAAATATGAATTTTGATGTGAAAGCAATATAAGGCAATGAAGGAAAAAATAATCGCTTTGTTTAAATTTTTAAGGTTTCTAAAATATTCGGGATACTCGCGCACCTTTAAGAATTTTATAATCAAAGTAGTAATTAAAGAGTTTCGAAAACTTCAAAAACGGGCACATTTGTATGTAGATTCGACACCCCATTACGTAACTATGATCCTACACAAATTCCCAAGTAGAAGATAAAAATTTATTTAATTCCTAAATTTCTTAAAACTACACGTACGTTATTTTCCCGTGCATGGTTCAAGGCATTAACGATAGTATGTCGTGGTGTATCGCAGTTTCTGTAATCACCCCAATAACCAGCCTCAGCTAACGGATCAGACGGCGTTCCTACATCCTCGCTGCAGCATATTGGATATTGACATTCTGCATTACTTCCTGGTGAATAATGCTGGTCGAAATGAAAATCTGTTATGTGAAGTATCTTACTAGTATTTGACTTAGAAAGCTGGAAAAATGACGAGTTATTACATCATGTTGGCTAACATCACATTTTAAATTCGATAATAATATTGATAGATAATTTTTTTATTTATGAGCATTAGAAAAACAAAACAAAAAACTTAAAGAATAATAAGGCGCCAGGTGTAGATAGGATACAAGAGGAAATTCGGAAACATGCAGGACAAGAGCTTAGAGATCGTATATTTAAGCTAGTTAGTCACATTTACGACACGGGGAAAGTTCCAGAGGGTTACAAACGGAACGTGGTAGTAACCATACCTAAAAAGAGAGGCCCGGATAGGTGCGAGACATTTAGAACAATTAGCTTAACTTCCCATGCGTCAAAAATCTTAACATGAATTGTACAGAGAAGGAAGGAAAAAAGGGCGGAAGAACTATTAGGGGAAGATCAATTTTGGTTTAGAAGAAAAGGCCATTAAGCTTTACCGGTAACAATAGCGAAAACGATAGAAAAAGAAAGAGTGTGTACATAGGATCTGTAGATTTAGAAAAAACTTTTGACATTGTTAGATGGGACAAGATGTTAAATATACATAAAAATGTAGGGATGACTTACAAAGATAGAAGAGTGATACTTAGTTTATATAAAGAGCAACAGGCAGTTATAGAGATGGGTCTGCAACGTAGAGAAGTAAATATTAGAAAGGGAATCAGACAGGGATACACACTGTCGCCGCTACTTTTTAATCTATACATCGAAGACGCGATCAACATCATTAAAGACAGTACAACTGTAGGGATAGATATACAAGGACAAAAGATTAGTATGCTTAGATTTGCAGATGATATAGCAGTATTAGCATCTAGCAAGGAGGAGTTAGAGATAGTTCTAAATAAAATGGAAGCGGTATTTACAAAACAGTGCTGTCTGAAAATAAATAAAAGCAAAACAAAAATACTAGTATGCAAGGGATGAAAAAGTAAGGAAAGAGCGAATATAAAGGTAGGAGACGAAAAATTAGAAGAAGTGGCCAATTTTAGGTCTGACAAGTCAAGATGGAAGGATTAATAGGGATATAAAGCAGAGGATAGCGCAGGGTAGAGTCACCTTCAATAAAAAGAAGTCACTTCTCTGTTCGCGAGCGGTTAATTTAGAAATTCGGAAAAGTTTGTTAAGGGTGTATGTTTGGAGCACGGCGCTGTACGGGTACGAAGAAAAGGTTAGAATCGTTCGAAATGTGGTGTTTCAGGAGAATGATCAGGATATCGTGGATAGAGATGGTAAAAATGAAGGTGTATTAGAAAGAATAGGAGAACAGAGGACTCTATGGAAGTCAATAAGAAACAGACAGAGATAGGTTGGTAGGACACCTTCTCAGGCATGAAGGTCTAGTCATAGACATATTAGAGGCAGAAACGGAAGTTAGGAAGGGTAGAGGTAGGCCTAGATTAGATTACTGTTCGTAAATAGTTAAGGATATGGGTTGTTCTAGTTTTAGGGAAATGCGAAAATTAGCTCAGGATAAGAAAGAGTGGAGATGCGTGTCCAACCAATCCTAGGACTGACGACCTTATGATGACGATGATATGAGCATCATATTTTCAAAATTACATACGAAAATAACCGTAGGGACTGTCTTTCTTGGTGTCGGTTAACTATTTTTAAAATGTTTTAAAATATGCACAATTTCTTATCGCAATAACTATACAGAATGTGCACTTTATTTGCAGTGTTCCATCAATTCGAAATTCTGCCGCGTTCTATAGTTAACATATTTTCCTTGCAAATTTTACAAACCATTTGGAGTTTCTTTGGACTACAACCATCATCAACTGTTATTGTCCAATCTTTGTTTTCAGGTTGACTACATCCGTAACTCTGAAGTACTACTGAGCATATCCACTGTCCTGTTAGAGACTTGTCATTATCAATGATGTATAAAATTGTATCCTAGAAGATAAATGCTCAAATATACCCTGTTTTCTAATGTATTATTGTATAGGCATAACTAACCAATAATCTATCGATAATTCCATCGCATACGGGTTTAATTTCGATTCTTAAGTTTACACAAACGGCAGAAAGGAAACGAAAGGCCATAGATCTAGAAGCTCCTACTCTTCGAGCTTTGATAAGAGACGTTGCTGATGTTCTACACGCAACACAAGTTATTGTTGTTCCTAGCGACATTAGCACACCTGTTTTTCGACGAAATAGTTTGGGCATCCGAATTTCTGACAAAGTTTCATTAAATTCTTGTGTTTCGCCATTTATAAAAAAATCGTCGAACACTGACTGCAAGTAGTCTTCTAGAGATTCTGCAGAATGGATCTAGTGTAATACAGCTACCAAATTTTTGTTCATTTATAACGGTAAAGTTTAGCCGAAAGTATAAAAATCAAAGCATTAAATATTTCGCATGTTTATATATTGCATAATCTTCAAACATTTGAAGAAACTGCAAGAATAATTAATCAAATTCTCCTATCTACCATATAATTTAAACAAAAAGTATCAAATATATTAATGAAAAAGTGACAATCAAATTATCAAATATCAAAAAAATGAAACACTTAATCATTCACTGATTAAATCAGGAAAAATTGAAATATTTAGTACACATGTGCTCTTCTTGTGTAAAAAATGATTCGTTTAGTCGAATCTGTTTGTTAAATTGTTGATAGATGTAGTTGTGATAGTAGATTAAATATTTTGAGTATTGATAAACTTTAAAAGAAGCAGTTTAACATTTTCTGGTTTTTATCTAGCTTCCTCATTGATACTCCTTTTGGTGGTGTTGTCAATCGAAAAAGAGATAAGATAAGATGTACATCATGCGTATAGGCATGTTCTAAGTGCAGAAATAATCACGAAAAGAACATTGACTGTTTAAAGTGCCTATGTTTGTCAAAAATGTAAGCCAGTAAATGAAAAACATTTCCTTACATTTTTTGTAAAAATTTCAACCTAACATTAGTAGACGTATTTTTTCATATTTTCAAGCACGACAAAATCTGTCAAGAGATTTTTATATCAATTAAAATATTCAGTAGTACCTATGTATGTAATGTGCATATAAATGTTTTAAGATTTTGGTCAGATTTGAAATCTATCAATACAATTTTATGATTCATATGTTAATGTTTGAATTTTATTCTTACCTTCACTAAGTGTGCTAAGCATTACCGGACTTGACTCATCTTTTAAAGAACTACCACTAACTAATATTACCACTGATAGTACCAGTAGTACCTGTTTGTCTATCATTTTTATTGTAACTGAAGGATTTTCATTGAAAAATACACACTATTTATATAATCATTTTGTACACAGCTAGTTATCGTAATGTTCCTATTTGATAAAACAGTGGGACCTTTAAAATGCAGCATTAAAAAATGCACAATTAATTCCTATATAAAAAAGCTTTTTATTATTCTGTGATATAGATAGATACGCACCTTTGACCATGTCTAAAGAACATCAGAAAGCTTTTTTTTATTTTTAGTATTTCGAAACAAAATAACACAACGGAATTATAGAATTACCTTAGGAAAACAGTCTTGATTTGGTTTTTAATGTGGTCCGTTTATAAACGGTAACAATTTCAAAATAAATACAATAATTAAGTATAGTTTTAAATTTACTGTTTATTTATTTTACGGTCCAATAATTGCTTATTCACTTATATTCCATTTTATTATTCTTTGCCCCATGGTGCCCCTTTAATCATTTACAAATTAGATATGTACATTTTTAACTTTCATCAAGAATAATTATCATATTGAAATCAGTATCGAAGACAACAGCGGTCAATAGCTTTTTATAATATAGATCGTAGGTATGAGGTAAAACGGTAACATTAATGAATATTTATCAATAAAAAAGTAAGCCACAATCCTCTTAATCTTTTACAATGCAACTGCTGTTTTCCGTCTAAAGGATTCTTCTTTCATTTTGTTTTGGATAAAGATTGTCTAAGAGTAAATAAAAGAGAAGGACAAGTTTCGAATATGGCACAAGTTACCCAACTTTTGATTTAATGTAGGTCAATGTACAAAATAATAATATAATTTTTCGTTTTTCTTGAAATGCTGTAAATCCTTTTTATGTAAACAATTAATAAAGTACAAGGGAAAGAACAGTAAACAAAAACTTTTGCTAAATAAATATTATATAAATACATGAATTATACTAGTTTACAGCAAGGTTACCATTTTGTTATTTGTTTAGGACTAGTAAATATTAATTTAGGATTTAACTTGTAACTCTATATATAAAGGCTACGGGACTTTGACAGAGGTTTATCTTGCTAAAAGAGCTAAAAAATGTAGATAAGTAAAATTCTAAATTTCTTCAACAGTTATTTATATTTCTTTAAAATTACAATAAATAAATAAATAATTCTAATAGGGGTAGTTTCTAAAATACGTTCGCAAATAAAAGGAAGGAAGGAGTACTGCTTAGCGTAACGAGATATGACATGGAAGGAGGAAGGGTCTAAGAAAATGCGTTAGCAGTTCATTAATTTTATTTTAAAGTTTTTCATAATTTGGCAATTCTTAAAATTTTTGATTACCATAAAAACGAATTCTCATTGCTACTTTTAATCACAAAAAAATCGTTAATAAGGAGGGGGACATCATATTTGTTAGAGGGGTCGCTAAAAGTGCGAGTTAGGGGGTGGGAGAGCTCCAAAAAGGTGAAATTCTGAAAGACGTATTTTATGGACGACCTTATATAGTTTGGAAAAGTTTTATCATTCACAGGTTAGTATTTAATGTTCTGTGAATGAAAAGTTAAAAATAAAATTAAATTTTAAAGGCATGGAAACTTTTTTAATTAAATAGCTTTATTGCGTCCAGTAGGTAATATCTAGTATAAAATAATTTCATTAATCATTAATAATCTATGCCTCTACTCCGACTTTGGACTCCAATCTTCAACAAGTTTAGTCTGATCGAGGCTCAAGCTTTTAAATTTCATTTTTCTGTGTTGTAAATGTAAATAACTTTTGATAATTTTAAACGAAAATAATTAAAAATTTGACCACATATCGACTAAAAAATACTAAAGCTACCAGTTATTCTAAGTAGCTATCCACACCTTACTGTATTAGTGGTTTATATTTGTTTGTATGCTTATTTATCACATTTAAGCATACTTGGGTAAAATACAAAAAACATCATAACTAGTATTTCAAAATTTATTCAGTATTACAAACAAAATATGTATTTAAATACAAATATTAATATTTTGTCATCAGTATTTAAATAATATTATATATAAAAAAATTATGAGTGCTGTCAGCACAGAGCAAAGTAGTATNCATAATGGCCGACATCAGTGACAATACGACAACAATTGAAAAAGAATGATGGCCGACAACTGCAACAATTAGAAAAGAATGATGGCCGACAACTGCAACAATTAGAAAAGAATGATGGCCGACAACTGCAACAATTAGGAAAGAATGATGGCCGACACTACGTCATAGTGGAGCAATAAAAAGGGCAGGGGGAACTAGTATATATGAAAAAAATATATTTAATACAATTTTTAATAATCCAGTCTTACCTAAAACGTCTTTAAATTAAAATTGGTTTTACCAATCAATATCGAATCTATAATAGGAAGTCCTCTGAATATATTTGTAAACTACTAGATTACAATTTGTATATCTAGTAGTAAACAAACCCTACACAATGAATAAGAACATATAACAGTCTCGGCAATCTAGAAACTTTATATTTAAATTTCTAGATGCCAATTGGACCCCTGAGTCTATGTAAATGAGTTTAAATAGAAAGAAAGAAAATGCATCCCTTAACGTGAACTAATTGATAATCTGAACAGACCTTGTTTTTTCGGTACACACTGTCAAGCATCTGCTGTAGACAACTTTTGATAATTTTAAACACAGCAAATAATAAGCAAAGATTTAACCTCATATCAAATTTAAAGTACATTTTGATATACTTTTTTTTATTATCCTTGTGGTGAAAGCAAACTCTAAATAACTTTAAATTAGTTTAACAACTACATGGTTTTTCTAAATTAAATGGTATTTATAAATAAATTTTCACTTTAAAGTTAAAAATAAGGTACCATTTCAATCAAAATACAATAAAAACAAGTAAAAGTGCATTAAATGTCATTTTAATATGCTCCACAATTTAAGGCAGAAATCATTTAGTAAAATTACATTACAAAATAAACAGAGAATTCAAATATAACATGAATTTATTCTTATATAGTATTATGTCTACAGTTACTGACAAGTTGTTATTTTTTCTGGAGTATCTTCTTCAATTCGTTTATCTGTTTCACCACATTCAAATCTCTTAAAGTCTATTATTTCAATTCCATTTTCTTTCAGCAAATCACCAACAGTCCACTCACTATCTAACAGAAACTCTTGATAAATTAAACATTTCTCATCATCAGTGTTTCCAGCTGGTTTGTCAAACACTGTCCCAATCCTGTCAGGATTCATCCCAACGATATGTTGACATAAATCTTTCCCTAATTTTTTAATATCAACACCACTTGGTCTGATTTGTCGAAAGGCTACAACACCTCCAAATTTTCCCAATAAAATCCCATTTCTTTCATTTCCATAGGGATGTGTGTATACAGAAAGATGTATTTGTTCAGCAGCTTTGAAGCAAATTCCTCTTTTAAGGGAAGCATTCTCTCCAACCAATCCAATCATAAGTGCCAGTTGATCTGATAGTAACTTACCATCTGCAGTTGGCAGCTCATTTAACTGTCTGGATTCTAAGTCGATCTAAAATATTTAATACTAATAATGCAAGAAATGTGAGGGTACTATAATTTTAACAATACCTTTATTAAAGGATTTTCACCAAGAGCATACTTCTTTGAGAATTCTATACAAGCCCTTGCTGCAGCTTCTGCCATTTCTTGGAAATTAGTATTTCTTGCAACAAAATCAGTCTCACAATTAATTTCCACCAGTACTGCATTTTGGTTTTGAACAGTTGCTGCTACTAATCCTTGATTTGTCTTTCGTCCCTCTAGTTTGGTTGCTTTTGACCAACCCAAAGCTTGTGCTTGTTCATGTAACCAGGACTCTGCCTTAATAATATGAAGTTAAATGAACATAATGACATTACCATTTTAATTAAAACCTTTGTGAGATCGTTGTTGTTTAACTCTAAAGCCTTCTTGCAATTTGAAAATGTATAACCTGTCTTTTTTCGAAGAGTGGCCAGCAGGGACTTCTCTGCAGCAAACAATGAATTGCTGTTACAAAAAAATCTTTTTAATATAAGCTGGGAATACATTTCTAAAACACACAGATATTAATAAGGAAAATTAAATAATGTTGCATAGGTTATTGATAGATTATTATAGGTTATGCAGTACCATTGAATTTATCGATCCATCAACAACACCATAGATAAGGCACGCATGTCAGGAACACGTTCATTTCATCGGCGTATTTGATATCTTGGTGATACCCATTAGTGCCTTCAGCATGACAACTTTTCCATGACAACGTGCTTATTTATTAATATAAAAAGCTTTTGATTTAATATCATATAAAGCTTTCGTACAAACTATTATTAGTTTAACATTCTTTTCACTAAAAGAAGGTCAGAACAAAAAATAGTAAGTAAAATATAATTAACTTTAGAGAATCAGCACTCTACTTGTAACATTTGAATTTGCCACAATTATGTTCAATTGAATGCGTCATTTGTTGCTTTTACACTAATACAGCATGTAATGTTTTCAGTTTTCTTCTTTAAAACACACGCTTATTGCATTTTCCGTTATTAATTTTTTAAGCGGCAAAAATTTAAATTTATTGTTATGGCGGCCATTATCTTTGACAGTAACAAGAAGAAGAAATTTAAATTATTTCCATTTGTTGTACTATAAATAAATTGATCAGAAGTGCAACATATAAACAACATCATTTTACGTAAAAAGATTTTCTTAATTAATTCACATTTTCTCTTTTAGAAAACAGAATGTCTTTCAAACAGCAAGTAGAAAGAGAAAAACTGAAACGCAAATTAGCTGAAAAGATGGCTTATTTAGAAAGTCGACCAGATTTAAAAATAAAAATTCCAAAGGTCCTCTTACCCTGTGATTATAACGTTCAAAATCAACCACTCTTTAAACTACCCCCAGAAAAACTTAGACCCATTTTGGCATCCGCATACCCTAGATATCACAAATATTTAAAACAGGAAAAACAAAAAAGTATTCGATTGTTTTTTTAGTTTATTTATCCCCTTGCAATTTACATAAATTTTAATTTGATTATAGTTGCCGCGCGTAAAGAAAAAATGAAACATTATACAATATTGCGTAAGAGAAGGGAGGAATTTCGCCAAAAATTGGTCGAATTAATAAATAAACAGGAGGAGGATAATATGGAAGTGGATCCTGAAGAAGTTCCTACGCCTGAAGAAAGAGAAATTCTTCGATATTATTATTATATCAGATATGGTGTAGATACAATTCATGTTGCTCCTATTGATGAAAAAGTTTTAGAGGAGGCAAATACTTCGTTTGTTTATTTTTTTTGAACTATAACACTTTCAATGCAATTTTAATTATCTCTTTGTGATGTAAAAGAAACAAAAACTTTTTATTTTCTTTTTTGTAATATTTCGGATTTTTTCGAACTAGATATTCAGAATCTTCTTGCTTAAATGTATCTATATTTACATAACAACGATCAGGAAAAATCTGTAACTGTTCGAACTAAATTAGATTAAAATCAAATTATGGGAAAAAGCTTATAATTGTCATCAATGATAACGATATTAGGAATTATTTCAAAAAGTGTTCAATTCTTAAGATAAGGATTCTCATCATCATCATCATAAGGTCGTCAGTCCTAAGACTTGTTGGACACGTACCTTCACCCATTCCTATCCTAAGCTAATCCTCGCATTTCCCTAAAACTAAAACATCCCACATCCTTAAGTATTTGTGAACAGTAATATAATCTAGGTCTACCTCTATCCCTCCTAACTTCCGTTTCTACCTCTAATATGTCTCTGACTAGACCTTCATGTTTGAAAAGGTGTCCTACCAACCTATCTCACCTATTTCTTATTCACTTCCATAGAGCCCTCTGTTCTCTTATTCTTTTTAATACCTCTTCATTTCTAACCTTCTCTGTCCACGGTATCCTCATCATTGGCCTGTAATACCACATTTCGAACACTTCTAACCTCATCTTTTGCACCGCGCCCATTATCTATGCTCCAAAACATACACCTTGAACACCTTTAACAACCTTTTCCGAATTTCTAAATTAACCATTTGCGAACATAGAAGTGACTTCTTTTTATTAAAGACGACTTGACCCTGCGCTACCCTCTGCTTTATATCCCTACTACTCCTTCCGTCCTGACTTATCTAAACTCCTAGATACCTAAAATAAGCCACTTCTTCTAATTTTTCATCTCCTCTCTTTATATTCGCTCTTTCCCTAATTTTTCTTCCCTTGCATTTCAGTATTTTAGTTTTACTTTTATTTATTTTCATAAAGTACTGTTTTGTCAATTCTGCTTCCATTGTATTTAAAGCTATCTCTAACTTCTCCGTGCTGGATGCTAATACTGCTATATCATCAGCAAATCTAAGCATTAATCTTTTGCCCCTGTGTATTTATCCCTACAGTTGTACTGTCTTTAATAATGTTGATTGCGTTCTCAATATTTACTTCTCTACGTTACTGCTCCAGCTCTATAAGTGCCTGTTGCTCTTTATACAAACTATCACTCTTCTATCTCTGAAACTCATCCCTACATTTTTAAGTATATTTAATGTCCCGTTTAACATTATCAGATGTTTTCTACAATAGAAAGCATCCAATCGTACCGAGAAAAAAGGAGTTAAAAAAGGTTTTCGCGGTTAGTATGGGAACTGATACTACTTTGATTCGGTCTAAAGGTTGGAGTTGCTTCCTAACGTTTCGCTAGCAGGAGTGGCTGGCTTCAGAGGTCCTTCCATCTCCGATCCTGGATGTGGGCATTACACAAAACATCTCCAACCTACAACTGCCTTTAAACCCGAATCAGGACAGAACTAGTTCAAAAAAACATTTCAACTAAACACAATTTTTTTCATCATCATCATCATAGGGTCAGTCTTAAGCCTGGTTGGACAAGTACCTTCACTCTTGCCTGTCCAATTTCCCTAAAATTATAATCTAATCTAGGCCTACTACTCCTCTCAACTCCTGTTTCTGCTTCTAATATGTCTCTAATTAGTCAAACAACAAATAAATAAAGAAATGTCCATCCTGAAATTGTTACTAAAACCAAATTATTGATGAAGATTGTAAAACTATGGATTAAAGAAAAAGAACAGATTTTGTTAAATTTTGAAGAATTTTAAAAAGTAGAATATTCAGTTAAAAAAGATCGGTATATTCTTAAAAATATATAAAATTGATTACCTACGATTGGAAAATTTCGAGAAAAATATTAAACAACCAAAGGCAAATCCATATTAGTAATGCACTGATTCATTCAATAAAATTGCTCAGTGGTCTTTCAATTTTATGCCTTCATGACTATTTATTTCGTGTTATGATTGAAGATTTTTTAGATATTAAAATTGATTCCCGAAAAGTGGAAGAGATGGACCGACATGCTTGGTGTTTGCATTCAAGATTTAAGGGAGGATTTTATGAGTGCTAACAAAAAAGCAATTGTTGATTATGTCCTTAAAGACCCTACTGTGACAGAATCAATTGCTGCAGAGTTTGATTCGGCTGAAAGGAGGGAGGTTGTACTCTTGGGTCCCAAGTGGCAAAAATCGTATGATCTCAACAAATTACAAATTAATCGATGGCTATATATTGTAAATCCATGTATGCAACAGATACTTCAATTGTGGTACACAAAATATCGGTAAGAAACAGATAGTAATAATTAAAATAATTATTAGCGTTGCATTATTGTTTTCGTTTAAGACAAGCTATATAATAGCTTTGCATCAAAGTACACTCTTCTTGATTTGCATATCATTTATTTATTACTAGCTGATGATGCAACTTCAGTCGCCGAGACAGAATTATACAACACTAGGTGGGTCGTACCGTTAATAACTACGCGGTTCCCGCTTACTTTACGATGAGGCGGAAGCGGAAAGGTTTTCTTTCTCGAGTGCATGCGCACTACGTTGCCTGAGGGTAAAATTTGACTTCGGTTTTTGCCATTATTTCGAAATTTGTAAAAATAAGGGACTTGTTGTAATTTTTCAAGTTGATTTTGCAAAAGATATTAGATTTCTGTTAAAAAAATTCTGTGTGAAAATGGGGGTTAAGAAGCGTATTAATTTATTTATATTACACTACTTATATTTTGCATTCAGTTCAATGATTTATAATAGTCTCAAATTGGTCCTAATGTAGTTACTCTGATACACATTATATACGAAAATAACTAGCTAATATAATTCTTATTTTTTTTGTGTTATTATTATTATAANACCGGGATAGGGGTTAAGGAATTGGTTTAATGGTATTATTTGTACACTATGCTTCGCACGGGTGCAATGCTGATAGTAAATATACTATAGAATGTCTTTATATATACAACAATCACAGCTTTTTTGTCATTGGACAATACAAACTGGTCGGTACCGCCGCAACCGCTATGTCCCTGCATTTTAATTCGAAAATATTCATTTAAATTACATGCTGTAAAGGGCCACATTGATCTATATTAAATGTACAATGTATTTAAAAGTACTTAATTGGATAAGGATTAATGCTGTATTGCATAAAATAGCTTCGTAAATAAGCCATTATTTCTCGTAAAAAGTAAAGGATAAAAAAATGGTTATTGTGGGTTATCCCTAAGAGATAGACATATACCATTACGGACTTTTTTGTAGACCTTTTTAAGGTGTACAATAGTGTAGTATATTATTTTGATCTATCTCGTAGGGTCCAGCCAGCGTTTACAATGTAAGTGCAAAAAAATGAGTTTATTTACGACATCACATTACAAACCTCTAAAATTATCAGTGTTTCTCTACTATATTATGCATGTATTATACATACAAATCTTCCTCTTGAATAACTCTATCTATTAAAAAAACCACATTAAAATCCGTTGCGTAGTTTTAAAGACCTAAGCATACATAGGGACAGATAGCGGAGGAAATGCGTTGCATGATTTCGTTACATAGCAACTCGCATGAACTTACTTACCCTACCGTGCGTAAAGAAGTTTCACTTCAAATAAATAATTAGTATTTTTAAAAATGGATTTGTTTATATTATAGAGTGCAGCCTCATCTGAAGAAATGTTTCGAAGGAATAGCGAAACTTACATTTACAGAGGCTTTAGACGTTACTCACATGAAATCTTCTGAAGGAGAAGTGGTACCACTTGTCGACGTAATTCAGACTTCTTTGGCCAAAGGTCAAGTAGAAAAATGGCTAGTCGAACTGGAAGTGGATATGAAAAAATCAGTCCATAAAATAGTGGAGTTTGCCATTCTTGATTACCCGAAAAGAGCCAGAGACTCTTGGGTCCTTATGTGGCCTGGTCAAGCTGTAATTTGATCAACCTTAACTGAAGAAATTACTACTGAACAATTAAAATTCTACTTTTTTCAGGTTCAATGCATTGCAATGACTTTCTGGACTTCTGAAGTGAATGCAGCCATTCAGCAAAGTGTAGTTAATATGCGAAAATATTACGATTCCTGCAACTTCCAAATAGGTAAAGTGGTTGATCTAGTGAGAGGAAGGTTGAATACACAAAACCGTATTACTTTAGGTACGAAAAAAAAAACATTTAATTGGGTCAATTTCTGATTTTACTTTATTAAGAATTATTTTATGGCTTTTAGGTGCTCTAATTGTATTGGATGTTCATGCAAGAGATGTACTGGGGCAAATGGTGGATCTACAAGTTAGAAGTATCGATGATTTCCAATGGTTATCCAACTTACGATATTATTGGGAGGTAATGATTTTAATAATTCACCAAAATTAATGTGTAACTAAAAATTAATAGATCAGATCCACTGTTAATTTATTTTAAATTAATATCAATTCGCCCCATTATTGATGTAGATTCTTCTTCATTTCAATTATCATTTTACTTAAATAACATTCTAATTCTTTTAATTAATTATTTATTTAATTGCAAGTAGTATTTACTTTGGAGAATTTTTTTACTGATTTCGATTTACTGAAAAATAATAGTATATTAGTGTTTAATGTCCATAAATCATTATTAGAAAAAACAAATTGTAACCCGTATGATAAACTCCACATTGAAATATGGGTACGAATATTTGGGAAATGCGTCCAGGCTTGTAATAACACCGCTAACTGATAGATGCTACAGAACATTGTTTGGTGCTCTTCATCTACATTTGGGTGATTATTATTGTTTTAATGTATACTTGACGTTTATGTTCTTTTTATTGAAGTATCTAGTAGAACAGTTTTGCTTCTCATTTGATCTCATATGCATTGCAGTTGTAACTGAAAAGAGTCGAAAGCCATTAATTATTATTTTTATTTTTCTTCATGTTTATACAATATATTTAGGTATATAATAAATAAAAGTATTTTTTTTTTGTTCTGTTGTTTTTCAATTTTTTATTTATTTACTAACTGTAATATCCTTCTTAAAAAATGAATTATAAACTCGATAAATTTAAATGTATTCATATATATATGTAGGTACGAACGCAAATTGAGAAATTTAAGGAAAATATGCCCATGATACAATCTCTAGGAAACCCAGGCCTGAAACCAAGACATTGGGAGAAAATTTCCGAAATAGTCGGGTTTCCAATTATTCTTGATGATGATCTTACGTTGGGAAAAGTTTTAGATTACGGGTTGGAAGATTATCTAGATAAATTTGAAGCTATTTCTGAAGCAGCAACCAAGGAAAACAATTTGGAAAAAGGACTTAAGAAAATGAAAATAGAATGGGCAGACG